CTTTTGCATTTGCGTTGTGGCGTTTGCTTGTGTTGTCGCTTTTGCATTTGCGTTGTGGCGTTTGCTTGTGTTGTCGCTTTTGCATTTGCGTTGTGGCGTTTGCTTGTGTTGTGGCGTTTGCATTTGCGTTGTGGCATTTGCATTTGCGTTGTGGCGTTTGCATTTGCGTTGTGGCGTTTGCATTTGTGTTGTGGCATTTGCATTTGCGTTGTGGCGTTTGCATTTGCGTTGTGGCGTTTGCATTTGTGTTGTGGGATTTGCATTTGTGTTGTGGGATTTGCAGTTGTGTTGTGGGATTTGCAGTTGTGTTGTGGGATTTGCAGTTGTGTTGTGGGATTTGCAGTTGTGTTGTGGGATTTGTATTTGTGTTGTGGGATTTGCAGTTGTGTTGTGGGATTTGCAGTTGTGTTGTGGGATTTGTATTTGTGGTGAGCCTTCTGCGCCACCGTATAAATTAGCTGAAAATAACCCTAGAACCTAGAGTAAACTCTGCCTTTAAAGTAAACGTCATGGTCTAAAATTATAACAATAAAGGAAAACATTACGACAGGCTTGACAACTACAACTGGTTGCTAAATGATTCTAGACAAAGATGTTTCGAGAGCACAGAACCACATGCTAACGATTGAGAGTCAGCACTAGTTCTCAAATTGCTAGAAATGATCAAGCTATCAAAAACGTTGTCAAAGAGGACCAATCTATCAGCTAATGACAAGTACACGTGTCTCCGGTTGCCAGGTGGTATAGTTCCTTTGCCTGTGAGGTGGCACACTCCACTCCTTCACACCTGTCTTGCCACATCGACGGCACGCTCTCTATCCCATAATATGCACCAGCGATTGATCCTGCCATCGAGGCAATTGTATCTGTGTCGCCGCCTAGGGAGATCGCATACAGCACCGTCCGTGCGAGGGCGTTACCATGCTGAAAGAAAACACGAGATGCCATCTCTACATAAAGTCGGCACGTCACGAAGCAAATAAAAGATGTTAACATTGACGTATAATAGATAGAATAATATCATTCCCGGTTACACATGGGATTGGCTTCATCAATTGAAACTGCTGCGAATATTTATGCTTTCACGCTTTGAATATCTTTGCCGGACAATGTTTTCACATGCTATTGGCGGTCCGATGCAAACGTGAATAAAACTCACATCAATATTCCGTAGATCTTCAACGGGTTCCATACACCTCAGAAAACAATAAATAGCTGTCGGTATGGACCTATGTGCTGCTATGCCCACTCCTGAAGAAAATATTAAGTAAGGATTACGATCAAAGACAAAATGGCATAAAAAGTACAATATACGAATGTCAAGTTAATATGATACACACGTATCTGCTAGATAATGAATTCATCCTTTAATACAATATCATTATTACCTGAAAATATCAATGGAAAAGGATTAACTTAATGCACGTAGTGTATGTAACACGAAGGACGTTAGCAGAGAAGCCATATAGTATGATCGTAGGGCCAGTATTGACACAATTAATAGTATGAGATACATATTGCTAGGATTAACAGTTATTTGTGCACAAGTATACACAATTGTCACAGCTTACAGATATATATTTTCAAGTGGTCTGTGGCTACGGGGCGCCAAGTAAGACATGGCTCGATTTTGTCAACAAAATCCATTTTTGTACCTATAAACTTGACAAAACTCAATTTTGTCTAACAAAACTCAATTCTGTCTCACAAAACTCAATTCTGTCTCACAAAAGTCAATTTTGTGCACAAAACTCACCTTTGTGCACAAAACTCAATTCTGTCTCACAAAACTCAATTTTGTGAACACAAAACTCAATTTTGTGAACACAAAACTCAGTTCTGTCAATCCTGTCCCACAAAACTCAATTTTGTGAAAACAAAACTCAATTTTGTGAACACAAAACTCAATTCTGTCAATCCTGTCCCACAAAACTCAATTCTGTCAATCCTGTCCCACAAAACTCAATTCTGTCAATCCTGTCCCACAGTTTATACGCACTAAAATCAATTCTGGTTGCACCAAATCCAATAATTAAAATCTGAATCATACAAAATTCATTTTTGTTACAAAAGGATTACAAATTTGTAAGACAGAATTCGAGTTTTGTGGGACAAGAGATGATCGATTGAGAGTTTTTGTGTTCACACCGAATTGTAGTTCTGTGAGGACAGGATGTTGCACCCGGAAGAGCTTTTGTGTTCAGCGGAAAATTGAGTTTTGTGGGAACAGGATTATGTACAGGTGTGGCCGAAATTTGCAGTCTGCGTGACACAGGATTGACAGAATCTGATTTGGTGTTCATCAAATTGAGTTTGTGGGAACAGGCAGGATTGACAGAATTAGAGTTTTGTGTTCAACAAATTGAGTTGTTGGTGGGCACAGGAATTGACAATGTGGAGTTTTTGTGTTCACAAAATTCGAGTTTTGTGTCTCAGCAAAAATGAGTTTTGTGGGGACGGATTGAGACAGAATTGAGTTTTGTGGGACAGGAATTGACGCCGAATTTGAGTTGTTGTAGGACACATCCCAGGATTGACAGAATTTGAAAGTTTTGGGGACAGAAATTGAACAGAATGAGTTTTGTGGACGTTCGGCGCCGACGGAGATCGCGGATGACAGAATGAAAGTTTGTGTTACAACAAAATTGAGTTTATTAGTTTATCAAAACAAAAATTGAGTTTTGTGTGAACAGGATTGACAGAACTGATTTATGTGTTCATCAAAGCTTGAAGGTTGTTGTTTGTTCACAAAATTGATGTTTGTGGTTGACTAAAATGAGTGTGTTGTGGAGAGCAGAATTCGAGTTTTGTGCACAAGGTGAGAGGGTTTTGTGCACAAAATGACTTTTGTGAGGACAGCGAATTGGGATTATTGTTAGCACAGAAAGAATTGGAGAGTGTGTGTGTTAGGCAGCGGGCGGCAAAATTGAGCGTGTCTTGTCTAAGGGTTTTATATAGGTGAACA